CGCTTCATCAATGTCATCGATATATTCCTTGAGTTTGTTCCATTGTTCTTCCTGCAAAGACATCCCTATTTATAATAAGTATGATTAGCTTGTTTGCGTCTTTAGACAAACTACTCGATTAATAGAACCCAAATGTAGATAAGCTTGCCTTTTTTCGAGGGGGCTTCGATACCTTCAGGAGTCTTATAATGTTCGCGAAAGTCGATCAGCAACATATTCTTAAATTTACGGACAGTCACTCGTTTTTTTTCAGAAAGCTAAAAAACAATTATTATTCAATGTACAAATGTTTCACTTAGCGTGTTACGTCAATACTAAACCGACTTTACCTTAAAAGTAGCTTCTTCATTGTCGTTCTCTACATGCCTTGTTTTTTTATTTTGACGAGATTTTGCCTACATTTCGAAAAAAGTATCATTAAATAATGGGTCTAATTTTTCTGATGACATATCTTTGTTTAGAGACATACCTTCGATTCATAAGAGTCTGATTCTGATTCTGACGGGTCAGTTTCTAAATCTTTGTCTTTCTGGGGATGCATATAACAAACGCAATGCTTTATTAATTTTCGCGTTTCCAACTTATACTATAAGATTATAAAAAAGATATCTGACAGAGGTGCTTCCGAATTCTTCGTCACTCTCTTTCACAAATTTACTACTACTCTTCCTTTTTCTAGGCATGGCTGGAAAGATAAACTGAAATTGTATTGTCGAAATTGAAACTTTACGTGTGTCCTTCGTGTTACACAAATCACTATTTAACTATATATTATATATATTAAATTATAACAATGCCAATTTTAATTAAACTTCTATATTATAATAAATTATAAATTTAAAGTAAATTATAGAGCATTAACTTTTACTATATCAAATTTTACAGTAATAAATTAAAAACTAAGTAATATTTAATATATATATATTTGAGTAGGTAAACACCATTTCTTTATTTATTCGTATATTATAAGGTATACATTTAGAAAGAAACAACATCTCTCACGTGCGATTGGCAGTGAGTTTAATGCTAGCCTGCCTATAGTAATCACTTAACTTCTACTAGAAAAGGCATTTTAAAACTAGTATACTAATCAAATGATGCTGAGCAGCTATGTATGCCTACTCAGAATTATTGAAGAGAAAAAT